CAGCTCTCACACCAGTTCTATTTCTCGGCTCTTCTTCTCCCGCTGTCGTGCCCAATTGTATCAGGGCTCTCTATGTCCTCCAGGCCCCGCTCTCCAAGATTCTCCGTATTTCTACACAATTCTGGCATCTCAGGAAGTTTACTCCTGGTGTTTTGCACACTAGGCATGACTCCACTTGGGCTTGCCTCAGGGGGCATTGTTTGGCATAATGTCCCTGTTGCTGACATTGAAAACAGATCCTCCTGGGACAATCTCTGGCCCGATGTCCTATAGACTGACACTGAAAACAAACTCCCATTAATTGCTTTGTTGCCGTTTGTGAACCATTTTGTTCTACATTTGGCAAACCAACTGGTTTGGCTCCTCCTGACACAATTCCTGCGTACATGGCTGGGTATGCAATTTGCATAGGTCCTGGCCAGATTTGTGGTCGGGGTGAACTGACTACCTGACTCTGCTCCGCTGATTTTTGGGCTGTTTTCATAAGTGTCATAGCGTCTACACATACACTGTCTGGCTTCTCTTTTATCCTGGCCTCGTTCGTCTCTTTGCTCTCCTTAGTTGAGTGGTCACTACCACTCGACTCCGACTCCTCCTCCGACGTCGCTGCTTCTGATCTCACCGTTTTCTTGAATCGGCTTTCCTTCACGGCTGCTGCAGGAAAACGCATCTTCTCTTTAGGTGGAGGGGGGGTGTACCTCTCGTCTAGGTCTTTGGCTTTTTCGAAGTTCCGTAGAATTTTCTCCATCTGGCTGAGAGAATCAAAATATAAGTGGTCCAATTGTCGTCTATATTCCGGCGTAAGTCCTTTGTAGGCGATTTTGGCTTGTTGTTTCTTGTCAAGGGGGCGCTTCATGTGTCCTAAGATTAACCTGAAGCAGGTCAAGTATGGAGATATTTTCTCTCCTTTCCCTTGTGTCCTGGCCCTCAGCTCATCAATCACGTCGTCGTCGTCTACTGTCACCAGATATTCATTTTTGAACGCCCTCTTGAATGATTTCCACGACCTTATCTCTTGGCGGAGACATCTCAACCAACTACTGTCACTTTTCTGCAACATGATTGGCAGTGCTTGCAATATTTCTTGATCAGAAAATTCCGACCAAGCCTTACAGTCTTCCAAGCGCTCCAAGAATTCTTCGGCACTGTCGTCATCACCAAAGAATTTTAAGTCCCAGTCCTTTAGTGTTTTAATCACTTTGGACCTTCGGCCGGACTTAATTTCTTTGTTTTTCCCCCCACTTCTCTGGCATTGACTCAGATCACTCTCAGATTCTGACTCACTCGTAGAGTCATCTAAGATTGATCTCCGGCTCTCCCACTGACCTCTCTTCGGTCTGTCGACCCTCTTATTCTCTCTTTGACACTCTCTACACACTCTATCACTAACACTAATTTTATCCCCACCACTAACTCTCTCGCTATTACTACTACCTTCACTGCTCTCGTACTCTTTTCCTCTATTCAGTCTGGTTTCTCTCTCCCCTTTTCTCTGCCCTTCTTCTCTAATGTTACCCAATTTCCTAACATGATCACTTTTTCTTCCCCCTCTACTACACACACTTCTTTCAGTCTCTTTTCTCACTGGCTCTCCATTTCGTGGCACTCTTTGTTGAGTTACACTGTCTTCATTCCTGCTACTTCGGCTTGACTGGCTTCTAGGGGCGGGTGTGGGCCTCACTCTATCATTTGTGTGATGTGATTGTGAGGTCTCGGCTACAGGGGTTTTTCCATGTGGGGACACGATGTGCGATTGTTGATGGTGGGTCAATTGATACCCATCACCAATCTCGGCCCTACATTGGCTTTGTTGCAACTCCCACCCCCCTCCAGAATACTGGTGATCTATCTTCTCGGCATACTCCATAAGTCTTCTTATTTCTGGCGACAAACCCAAACGCGCGACTGAATCACGGAGGCTCTGAACATTTGGAGCCATTGTGGCTGAGGTGATGGTGTGCGGCGATGTCATGACAGTGCTCGTTGTCATACTCATTTGAGCACTAGTAGTGGTGGGAGAAACAGTCGTCATACTGGCTGTTGACATGACTGGGGGTGGGGTGTGAAATTTGGGGTGGTTGCAACGTTGGTCGGATTCGCTCTGCTGTACGATGCCCCATCCCGGGATTTATTTCTCCCACTCTCCCTAATTTCCCTTGCACGAATTCTTTCATGGATCTGGCTCGCCCCACTATCGGATTCCTCATTATCCGCAGATGAAAACTGGCCACCCCTTTGTCGCGTAACAAAACGAAACGGGCTAAATTCTGGCTCTGGGAAGGCTTCCAATAAAAAGATTTTATCGGAATTTCCAAGGTCATACTGGTCGCTAAATGGCACTTCAGTACCATCAGTCAAGGCCAGTCTCATCTCGGCTCTTAACAATCTCTCTCGCAATACTTGTGACGACCCGCTGATACACAATTGGTGTCTCAGTAAGTTCGTCACTACTTGACCAATTTGCATGACTCTAATTGTTTCCCATGCTCGGCTTACGCATGGTACTTCAATTAGTTCGCTCATGCGTCTTTTGTACTCCTGCATCTCGCTACTTGCCTTTGCCATTTCAAAGAATCAAAAAATTTTCTAAGTTCGAATAATTTAAAATTTTAAGGGGGGTGCACAATTAGTATACACGGCCCTGTGCTATCTTGAAAGCAAGGACGTACCCACTCAAGGAGGGCCCCCTTTCAAAATTTTTCTTTTTCCGGCGGACTGGTGACTCGGCTCTCCCTCTCTCTCTTCTTCTCGTTCTCTCTCTCTCTCTCTCTCTAGCCACTATTACTACTACTACTGAGCCACTTTTTCTGGTGCGCGCGAACTTTCTCTCGACTGCTGAAATTCAAATATCCCGGCGCGTCGTTTCTCTCGACCGTACGGCGTACTATTTGCAATCACGTGACTAACCCGAATTTTATTTCCGGTCTAACATGTGCTCGGCATAAAAATTTTAGAACATTTTTGATTTTACACAAGTTTGTTTGGAATTTTACTCGGGATTTTCTCACAAAACTGGCTTTCGGCAAACAAAAAAAAAATCTTTAATTTGTTGATTTAAATTTTTATCACAGCAGGAAATTTCTACAGTCTCGAAAGAAAAAGAAAATTTCGAATTTAATGGCAAAAGCAATCTACAACCTTACTTTACACAATTTCTGGCCGTAATTTACTCATAATTTATGAACAAATAAATTCTGGCATTGTCAAAATAAATCAATAAACAATCTGGCAATGGGAATTTTGAATTTTCTGTCAGCTGGTAACATACAATTTTTATGTCTGGCGTTAGCAACAGAAAATTCAAAATTCTGGCAACATATACAATTTTCTGACACTGGCAAGTAACAAAATTTGAATCTTCTGGCTATTGACAAAATAAACTTTGGCTCTGGCTAAATTAAAGATTCAAATTTCTGGCACACTTGCACTAAAATCTGGCTCACAATTAAATTTCAGTCGTGTCTCGGTTCGAGCTTGGCCCCACGTTGGGCGCCAAATTTTGTGACGTATAATTTTAACTAATTTTAATTTAGTGTAAAAGTTCTGCTTTACGTCAGGCAAAATCCGACGCTTTCAACAAAAATAATAATGAGAAATTAAATAAATAAAATCTCGCCGTCAGGCGCCAATTAATTTTGAAGCTTAATTAATAAACTATACTCGACTCTTTAAAAACAACCCGACAAACAACAATACCTCTGAGACGCTCTCAATCGTCAGAGGAAATTCTGCCTGAACAAGTTGGCAAGCAGAAATGCCAACGACGAGACACGACTGGTAAAATACTGGCCCGATACTGACTCACCCCAACGACGCTTCTCGATTTCTCTCTTTCCTAATTCCGGCACGCTCCTTCCAAAGGATTCCTGAATTGAGGGAAGAGAAATAATCCAACACACAAATAAGTCACTTTTCACAATTTCTACTTTATTACAACTCTTTACACAACTCCAGTTCTCTCACACACTCAAAATTTAACACAACTACTCTCAACTCTATCTACACAACTCTCTACGCATCTCGTAGATCAACTCATTACCAAGATGCCGGCGAAAAACTACTGACACCTGTTTCTCGCTTTTCCTACACGTGCTCGGCTTCTTCGACTCTTCTTCTCTCTCGTTCCGCTGGCTCTCCTCTCTCTATCTCTTTCTAATAGACAGCGGCTCTGCCCTCTACCACTTTCTCTCCTACTAACTAGCCGCGCGACACACATTTACCACTGATAGTGGCTCACACGGCAGTTCCGACTTTCTAAATTACCATACCAATTAACGATCACGGTTCAGGGATAATTCCGACAGATGACATGACGATTCAGAATTTCGACAACATAAAGAACGACAATTCACATCGTCACAATATTTAACAAATATATTTGTAGCTTAAAAACTCTTATTTGATGCAGGTCCCCAATGTATGCATCTAAGTCTTTTAATACAATTTAAACAATAGCAAATACTTTTTTGCTAAATAGCAATCTATAACATTTCTTACTTTATTTATTAGTCAGTTGCAGACAGGGTTTAAATGTTTATCTAAGATATTTTTTAGCTTAAAAAATCTGATTTCATGCAGGTTTCCAAACTATGCATCTAAGTTTATTAATAAAATTTGAACTTTAGCAAAAACTTTTTAGCTAATTAGCAATCTATATCATTTCTTACTTTATTTATTAGTCAGTTGATGACAGGGTTTAAATGTTTATCTAAGATATTTTTAGCTTAAAAACTCTGATTTGATGCAGGTCCGCAAACTATGCATCTAAGTTTATTAATAAAATTTAAACTTTAGCACATACTTTTTAGCTAATTTGCAGTCTATAACATTTCTTACTTTATTTATTAGTTAGTTGATAAGAGGGTTCAAATATTTAACAAATATATTTTTAGCTTAAAAACTCCGATATGATGCAGGTCCCCAAACTATGCATCTAGCATTTTTAATACAATTTAAACAATAGCAAATACTTTTTAGCTAATTTGCAATCTATAACATTTCTTATTTTATTTATTAGTTAGTTGATAAAAGGGTTCAAATATTTAAGAAATATATTTTTAGCTTAAAAACTCCAATTTGATGCAGGTCCCCAAACTATGCATCTAGCTGATTTAATAAAATTTAAACATTAGCAAATACTTTTTAGCTAATCTGCAACCTATAATATTTCTTACTTTATTTATTAGTTAGTTGATAAGAGGGTTTAAATGTTTATCTAAGATATTTTTAGCTTAAAAACTCTGATTTGACGCAGGTCCCCAAACTATGCATCTAAGTTTATTAATAAAATTTAAACTTATCAAATACTTTTTAGCTAAATTGCAATCTATATAGTTTCTTACTTTATTTATTAGTTAGTTGATAAGAGGGTTCAAATATTTAACAAATATATTTGTAGCTTAAAAACTCTTATTTGATGCAGGTCCCCAAAGTATGCATCTAAGTCTTTTAATACAATTTAAACAATAGCAAATACTTTTTTGCTAAATAGCAATCTATATCATTTCTTACTTTATTTATTAGTCAGTTGCAGACAGGGTTTAAATACTTATCTAAGATATTTTTTAGCTTAAAAAATCTGATTTCATGCAGGTTCCCAAACTAATGCATCTAAGGTTTATCAATAAAATTTAAACTTTAGCAAAACTTTTCAGCTAAATAGCAATCTATATCATTTCTTACTTTATTTATTAGTCAGTTGATGACAGGGGTTTAAATGTTTATCTAAGATATTTTCAGCTTAAAAACTCTGATTTGATGCAGGTCCGCAAACTATGCATCTAGTTTATTAATAAAATTTAACTTTAGCACAATAATTTTTAGCTAATTTGTAGTCTATAACATTTCTTACTTTATTTATTAGTTAGTTGATAAGAGGGTTTAAATATTTAACAAATATATTTTTAGCTTAAAAACTCCGATATGATGCAGGTCCCCAAATTATGCATCTAGCATTTTTTAATACAATTTAAACAATAGCAAATACTTTTTAGCTAATTTGCAATCTATAACATTTCTTACTTTATTTATTAGTTAGTTAATAAGAGGGTTCAAATATTTAACAAATATATTCTTCGCTTAAAAACTCCGATTTGATGCAGGTCCCCAAACTCTGCATCTAAGTTTATTAATAAAATTTGAACTTTAGCAAAAACTTTTTAGCTAAATAGCAATCTATATCATTTCTTACTTTATTTATTAGTCAGTTGCAGACAGGGTTTAAATGTTTATCTAAGATATTTTTTAGCTTAAAAAATCTGATTTCATGCAGGTTCCCAAACTATGCATCTAAGTTTATTAATAAAATTTGAACTTTAGAAAAAACTTTTTAGCTAAATAGCAATCTATATTATTTCTTACTTTATTTATTAATCAGTTGATGACAGGGTTTAAATGTTTATCTAAGATATTTTTAGCTTAAAAACTCTGATTTGATGCAGGTCCGCAAACTATGCATCTAAGTTTATTAATAAAATTTAAACTTTAGCACATACTTTTTAGCTAATTTGCAGTCTATAACATTTCTTACTTTATTTATTAGTTAGTTGATAAGAGGGTTCAAATATTTAACAAATATATTTTTAGCTTAAAAACTCCAATATGATGCAGGTCCCAAAATTATGCATCTAGCATTTTTAATACAATTTAAACAATAGCAAATACTTTTTAGCTAATTTGCAATCTATAACATTTCTTACTTTATTTATTAGTTAGTTAATAAGAGGGTTCAAATATTTAACAAATATATTCTTCGCTTAAAAACTCCGATTTGATGCAGGTCCCCAAACTGTGCATCTAAGTTTATTAATAAAATTTGAACTTAAGCAAATACTTTTTAGCTAATTTGCAGTCTATAACATTTCTTACTTTATGTATTAGTTAGTTGATAAGAAAGTTCAAATATTTAACAAATATATTTTTAGCTTAAAAACTCCGATTTGATGCAGGTCCCCAAACTATGCATCTAGGATTTTTAATACAATTTAAACAATAGCAAATACTTTTTAGCTAATCTGCAACCTATAATATTTCTTACTTT